GCACGCTGCTCTGAGTGTCAGCTTCCACGTACAGCTGAGAACAGAGGAGAGGGTGGACCTTCGGGTGGAGCTGCTGTGAAGCCCCCAGCTTACTCTAAGACCACAAACGTCAGCATGACAGTGATCACATGTAATTCGGGTTGTAATAAGCAGTCTGTTTCTAAAGCTGTTACAGTGGAAGGGAGAGTCAAGCCACAGGCCAGAGGACTGACATGCATGTCCTACCCCAAGCCCAGGGGCTCCCTGTGGAAACCGCCCCCCCCAGGGTCAGGGATGAAATGCCCTGTCCTGGGCCTCTAGTGTTACTCTACCATAAATACCACAAGGGGATTACTTTGGCAAGCAGGCGCTTACTTTGTTGATGTTCAGGAGGCTGCTGGTGGTGATGGGTATGTGCCGTGGAGTTAGTTCCGACTCATAGTAACCTGCCTAGTGTTTCCGAGGCTGTGAATCTGTATGGGAGCAGAAAGCCTCCTCATTCTCCCGTGGAACAACTGGTAGTTTTGAACTGCTGACCTTGAGGTTAGCAGCCTGATTTGTAACCACTACACTGCCAGAGCTCCTTGTTCAGGAGGCGAGAGGTCAGAATTCAGGGTGCGCCTCTAGTCTTTTTCTCTCTACTGCCTCTGGGTGAAGATCCTTGTCTCATTTCATCTTCTGCCCCGTGGCACCCTGGTGGTCTTCATGTGGCCTGCACGAATCGTCCCCATCTCTGCTCCATTTCCTGCTTTCATCTCTCAGTGGAGATTGACTCAAGGCTCCTTACACTGGCCCATCAACACACAAACGGGGTCATAACCACAGGTTAGGGCTGGTGAATGTATTTCTGTGGGAGAAACCAAGGGGCCAGTCCTGTCCCTATCTGCAAGTCCCTTCCTCTGGGTGCCTCTGGGACTGGACAAGGACTTGTCAAATGGTTACCAGCAGCACGGAGAGAGTAAATCCAGCTCATTCCTGATGTGACCGATTCAAGTCATGACGAACCACCCTCAGGACCATCTGTTGGTGTTTTGGTATTTTTAATACACACATGTGTATGTGTTCAAATGTTATCAGTATGTTTGTATGTATTGTTTCCAACCCCCAAATACAAATATGGGATTTATAAACATACTGATAACAAAAGGCAATAACAATGAAAGCTGAAAAAAAAAAATTTTTTTTTTTTAGAAGAATGCATTATAGACTTGAAATAAGTCATAAGAATAGCTGAATCATTGATGTGGAACGTTGTAGAAAATGCCGAATATTGGGGAACAGTGTACTATGGTCTCTGTACCTACTAGCTTTCCTGCGGGTGTTATTTAGTTACATTAGGACAATTAGATTATAACTCAACATCTGAAAGCCCATTCAGTGAGATAAGAAATTCATTTAATTGCACTCTAACTTGTAAGTGAGATTCAAGATTAATTGTTTGATAAGTTGGGGCTTCCAATCGAAATCTTCCTTATTATTTTATGTCTATGTGCTTCACCTGAAGGCTGGTTTAAAAAAATTCAAGATCGTTGATGCTGTTTGTTTTTTTTAATGTTTTATTGTGAATTATGTGATAGTTTACACATTCATCCTATCATATATCGTTTCATTGCCATGGTTACAATCCCCTCCATTCAGCATCAACCAACCAAAGGTATACCCTGCAAGCCTGCCTCCCGGTCATCAGCACACAGCACCTCACCCTATCTGGGTCTAAAGTCCCCAGCCGCTCCATCTCTCCACGTCATCGTCTCTGCCTCCATCTCTGGCATCACTGCTTCTCTGGGTAGGGTCCCACTCTCCGCTCTTCTACCTTGATGGTCTCAGGGACCTCCGCTCCTAGACTGCAAAGTTAATCACACTCCTCCTTGACACAAAAGTCTACCTTTACATTTCTGATAGCAATTATTCACTATTGTATCATAAGAGACCTATCTGCATCTCCTTTCATCAGCCCTGCCCAGACAGATTGGATACTACTCAGTGGAGATTCTACCTTCCTCCACACCCTCTGGATCTAGGTTCCCTGTTGAAAGCTTGTAAAGAGGTCTGTTGTACCACATTTGCTCAATGAAATATGTTGTTTGATTTTTGACCGCTGCTTTCATGGGTACTGCTTTGGGATCCAATAAGATGAACTCCATAATACCTTAACACCTTTAATCTTTTCTCCACTTATCATGATGTTGCTTGTTGGTTCAGATGTGAAGATCTTTGCTTTCCTGGTGTTGAGGAGTAATCCATGCTGAAGGCTGTCCTCTTTGATTTTCTTCAACAAGTGCTTCAAATCCTCTTTATTTCCAGCAAGCAAGGTTGTGTCATCTGCATGTTGCAGGTTGTTAATGAACCTTCCTCCAATGCTGATGCAGCATTTTTCTTATAGTCCAGCTTCTTGGATGATTTGCTCAGCATACAGATTGAATAAGTATGTTGGAAGGATACAGCCCTGACACACACCTTCCCTGATTGAAAACTACCCAGCACCCCTTTGTTCTCCTTGAACAACTTCCTCTTTGTCTGTGTACAGGTTCCACAAAAGCACAATTAGGCATTCTTCTCCATGTTATCCATACTTTGTTATCCATACAGTCGAATGCCTTTGCATAGCGGTTCTCCCCACTGCCCTGAGAATTACTTGTAAACTCTTGCTCTTGGTGTTGCAATACCACCACCACCACCCTTTTAAGTGATATAATAAGATCAGCTAAATGGTTGAGATGAAACTTTTATGAAAAATGCTGACTTTTGGAGAATGATGTGAGACTTGGGGAAATAGCTGCACATCAGTTTTGATTCCAAGCCTCGTGGGTAGATTATTGAATGTTGGAGTTTAAGCTCGTTGACAACCAAGTGTCCGTTGAAGATCTGGCTTGAACTTGCCTTCTGATGCTCTTAGGAAACAATCCTGGAGCCTTGATCATTCTTTCAGCACACAGTTTGGTGGCTGTCCTGTGCCAGGCAGGGGTGTTTGGGACACATAAGTGGCAACGTCACTGCAATCCCTGTGCTGGTGAAGTTTATATCAGGCTCCTTGGTCACTCCCCCAAACCTTGGAAATGCATTCATTTGGTTGGCATTTTGTTGTTGTTGTTGTTAGAACAGGTGTAAATGTTCTAATGTTGTAAAACAGGTGAAAAAGACACCATTGTTGTCCTCAGAGACAGACAGACATGGAAATACTTTGGAACGTAGCAAACTGGGTACGAGCTACAAGGAGGTAGAAGCAATGGCGCTGAGGGAAGGCGTAAGTTTTAGGGTATATTTGGTGGTGGGTTGTGTGGGGTGGGTTCAGTGGGTCATGAGGGTGGAGGAAGAGAGGAGGAAGGCCTTGGAAGCAGCATTTCATTGTTCTGTCAGCAGAGGAGAGTCCGAGGTTTCCAGCATCTGGATGGCCCCATTGGCCTTTACTTCCAGAAGGCTGCTGATGGAGAAAGGGGCAGCTGGGTGATGAAGGGACCAGCCAGGTGGTTTTTGTTTTTTCCATTCATTCAACATCCTGGTGTTTATCTGGGGCTTGCTTTGTGCCCATGCTGTGCTTTCCCAGATAGGTCAGGGAGGAACTAGCATAGCTGTGTGGTCAGACTGAAAAACAAGGGTGAATCTAAGAGGCATTTCAGAGGGGGTAGGACCTGCAACTCAGTGTGGGCACAGCAGTCCGGAAGAGGCTAGTTTGAGGTGCGCACGGATATGTGTGTGTATGCGGATGGTGGCAGGCAGTTGGGCACTGAGGTCATGTGCTTAGAGAACTCTGTAGGCCCATCTGTGGTCACACACTGAGAGTGTTGTCCCCTAAGCTCAGGTTAAGAGGACCTTCAACCTAGTGAACTCCACGGGAGCCCTCTGTGCCCCACACTGAAGGTTCCTGGACTGGCTCCTCTCCACTTCCATAGAAACCTCCAAAACTTTATAACCGGTTGTCAACCTTATATCCAGTTTTTCAAAGAGTAGAACCAATTCCATACCCAAGCTCATCTTTTGTTGTTGTTGTTAAGTTTTTATTGTGAACTGAGTGATAGTTTACATGGGAGAACATGAATTTTACGCCATTATTTCACCTCAATGATTACAGTCCCCACTATGCATCATCATTCGACAGTATTTGCTTCTATTACCTCTGGTTTTTGTTTTTTTCAGGGGGAGGGGTGTACACCAAAACACTCGGGAATATATTATTTAAACAACCATAGGGCACATTCTGCAAGCCTCCCTCCTGGTCACCAGCACCCGGTCCCTCTCTTTCCCTGAGTTCAGAGTCCTCAGCTGCTCCCTCGCTCCATGTCCTCATCTCTGTCTCCATCTCTGGTGTCGCTGCTTCTCTCAATTGGGTCCCACATTCTGCTCATGCTCTTCTCCCTTGATGGTCCTAGGGTCCTCTGTTTCTGGATGGTAAGATTAAGTACACCCCCGTTTTTGTTATAGAACGCCTTCCTTTACAGTTGTGACAGTTGCAATTAATCAGGATAACAGTAACTCACCAGCTCGTCTTTCGAGTTTGAAGTTTGAGTTCGCCGAGTGACTGGCAGAGGCATGAGCAGATAGCTTTGGGGACTGGGGTTGGACTTCTCAATCTCTTGCTGTCTGTTTCACTCGTCTGTCAGGCATAACATGCTGCCATTTACTCTGCTGTGAACACAGATAATGCCCCTCACAATGGCTGGATGGTTCAAGATCTAGTTCTGGCCAGAGAAAGCTGATTTCAGTTACATTGCAGATGTCGCATGGGTTGTCTTGACAAAAAAAAAAATGGTTCTGTTTTCTGAAGAAATCAGATCAACTCACTTCTCTGGACAAGGAGGGATGTTGCTTTTTAAACCTTCATGATTGGTATGGTTGGATCTTTTTTGTGAGGTAGGAAGTGTTCTTTGGACTGAGGGAAATGCTGCTCAGCAGAAGGGCCGTGCTGTGGCTGGAAGAAGGTCCACAGTCTGTGACTAATTGACTTGCCCTGGGCTAATGGGAAGATCGAAGGTACCCAATCAGCAGCCAGGCAAACACTCACAAAACATCTCTTTCTCTCCTAGGACTTCCTTTGCGGGGCATCTGGCCGGGATTCTCGTGGGACTGATGTACACTCAGGGGCCTCTGAAGAAAATCATGGAAATATGTGCAGGTACCAAACAGAATGCCGTTGGCATGACAACGACTTGGCAGTTCATCTTAATCTAAATGGGAACCAGGAGCAATCTTAAGTTTCCCTGTGGTTCCATAGGCCTTCCCGAATGTGCTTTTGTGTTTTCTTTTTTGAAAGCAGGAGGTAAAATAGCTACTGCAGTCCCTCACACTGCTCCGGAGAATAGAATGTGCACCTAAATGTGAAAGCGGACACTTCCTCAGGGAGTACTCGATGGTGTGCATCCCCTTAGCTTCAGTGCTCTCCTCTGAAAACTATGGTTTCCTCGAAAATACAGAGAACCAAAGTGGATTTGAAAGACTGCATTCTTCTAAAATATTCTGTGAGCCAGTATCCATAAGGCATAGTAAAACCAAGACTGTGCTGAAGGGCCAGGCCCTCATTTTAAAGAATTTGAATGACTGCTGGGCCTCTGGCTGCCAGGAGACGTATCCCTACAAGGTCGAAAACTCAGTGGTGTTGCTGAGTGCTTGGCTCCTGCTGGCTTGTTATTTTTCCAGCCCATGTTTCCCTTCTAGTTGATGCTCAGTGAAAAGACTTGATGTTATTTGTAAATACACTCCCCCCCTCCCCACCCCTTTGTTGTGTGTGTGTGTGTGTGTGTTTTAAAGACCTCTTAATCTAAAATGCTATACTGGTCCTAACTTGTAAGGGAACTGTTGAGCAAATACTTGTTTTATAAACCATCCAAGTTCCAATATTTCATCTTTTATTCATAGGGAGTCTTCTGAGACTCTTTTACCTTTTGTTGAACCATAAATAATTTGTTCTCATAGTCTGTACCGATGACTGGTATTCTAGAGAGCCATATAATATTCATGATTGTAGAAAGCTTTCCCCGGCGCGGGGCCTAGCAGGCTCTTTTCGCGTGGGGAGGATTTTTACTGGCTGTGTGTCACCTAAGAAAATGCCCACTGTCTCGCACTGGCTCATCTCTGTGTTTGCAGCGCTTGTACTTTGAGTTGACAGCTGGACTGTCATTTATTGGAAATATTCAGTTTTATTATAACTCTGATATAACAACTTAATTATGAAAATCGGCTAATGGCTTTTTCTCAGTACTAGTAGAGGAAAAGAAGTGACTCTCAGGAGTTGAATACTTTGCTCGATTTTCCTATCTATACCCCAAGATCCTGTAGCTAGTCAGGTATCTGCAGGCAGATACCGATTTAGTCACATGCTTTGTTCTGTTTGTAAAGAGGACCCCCCACTACCACCTCCAATGGTAGCACATGGACTCCTAGTTTTCCTTCCTAAAACTGTGCCTGTTTTCTCTGGAGACTTAATTTTACAACACTCTGTGTTTGACGCAACGCAACAGAAAGTGAGGTACTGAAAACTGAATCAAGCATCCAGGGCTGTTTGTCAATCACCTGCAGACTCTCCGCCTTTTTTCCTGAGAAGTGAAGGGGGCTTGAGGTGACACAGGGACCCTGTGGAAGCGAGCTGAACAGCTGAACGTGGAAGTCTGCTCTCTGCCAATGTTCTCCTGTCTTAGAGGCAAGAAAGGAGAGGGGCCAGGGGCCCTTAGAGAAGGGGAGGACCATGGGCGCCTCTGTGGGTGTGGCTTCTCGCCTTAGCCTTGTGATTTGGGAGATCAAGAGGCCTTCATGTCAACAGACTGAAACACACATACACCAAAGCTAACCCAGTTGCCAGAGTTAACTGACTCATGGTGACCCCTTGTGTACACAGTAGAACTGTGCTCCACAGGATTCTCAATGGCTGACCTTTCTTCCAAGGATGGGTTGACTTGAACTGCCTGTCTTCTGATTAGCAATTGAGTACTTACCTGTTTCCACCATTCAGGGACTCGAGAATATAAAGTAGGTCCTCACTGGCCCATATACATTTTGTTGCCTGTAGAACTAAAAGGGAGTTTATTTTAAAAACCATTTAGGTAAAAAAACAACAACACCAAAACACTTAGGAATTGTTTGACACGTGACTGGATGTTGTCACAAAGAATTGTTGGAAATGTGGGCAGTTGAAAGCCTATGACTATTATTAAAAGGTTTGTTTCATCCTATGACTATGTGACTGTTTTTTTCATATCTAGGCACTTTTTCTTCCGATATTGGTTACCCAGGGCAGCAATACTACTATCATAATGCAGGTAAGCACTTTATTTCATTTGATAAGTTTTGATGTGTTGTTGTTGTTGTTGGGTTGGTTCCGACTCAGAGTGACTGTCTGCCCGCCAGAACGAAACACCGCCCCGTCCTGCGCCATCCACACAATCCTGGCTCTGTTGGAACCCATTGTTGTAGCCACTGTGTCAGCCTATTTCTTGAGGATCTTCTTTTGTGCTGACTCTCCTCTACTTTACCAAGCATAAGTTCCTCCTCCAGGGACTGGTCCCTCTGATAACATAACCAAAGGACGTGAGACGAACTCTCACCATGCTTACATCTAAGGCGACTTCTGACGTACTTCATCCAATGTGAATTGTGAATGCTCCTGGCAGTTCATGGTGTATTCAACATTCTTCACCAATACCACAATTCAAATGCAGCAGTGCTTCTGTCTTTTTTATCCATTGCCCAGCTTTTTGGTGGTGTTGTTAACTTCCATTGAGTTGGATCCTTCTCGTTGCGACCCTGTGTAGAGGAGCAGCTGGTGGGTTTGAATCACCTGCCTGTGGTTAGCAGTCCTGTGTTTATCCTACAGTATCACACCAGGATTCCACATGCATATGAGGTCATTTAAAATACCATGATTTGGGTCAGGCATACCTTAGTTCTCACAGTAACATCTTTGCTTTTGAATGCTTAAGTGAGGTCTTTTGCAGTAGATCTAACCAGTGGAATATGTAATTTCTTGACTGCTACTTTCATGAGTATTAATTGTGGTTCTAGTAAAATGAATTCTCTCTCAATTTCAATCTTTTCCTCATTTATCATTAAATGATAACGTAGCTTGAAAAGTTGCTGTGCTGACTGCTATACAAGTACTCCTAGATAATGCTGGTTTTGGAAGTTTGTTGAGTGGGTCCCCCAAGATGTGATCATGCATCTGTCATAATGCTAGATGCCTCAAGGTTATCTTAGTCAAGAAGGTCAGGGAGCAGGAAACTCTGGAATGAAAAGAGCGTATGATTGTTACAGGGTCTCTCAGAACGGTTCAGATTCATACTAGCTCCAGGTAGCTTGAACTCAGCCTAAGAGATCACACTCTAACTGGTGTTAGAAATGTATGATCTTCTTCAGTCCATATATCCAAGTGGAATCAGGCTTAACCCTAAGAGAGTAAGTCAGGCATCCTGTGAAAAGTATGAGACTTATATAAAAAGGATAATAACAGAATACTATGCAGAGCTGTACTCCAACAAATTTGAAAATCTATATGAGATAAATACATTTTTAGATAAACAGCCATCTAAACTTACTCAGAGTGAAGTAGAAAACCTGAACAGATCTATAATAAAAGAAGAAATTGGTCAGGTCATCAAAGAACTCCCACCCAAAAAAATTCCAGGGTCAGATGGCTTCACTGGTGAGTTTTACCAAACATTCAGGGAAGCGCTATCACCCATTCTACTCAAATTATTGCAGAATATAGAAAAGAATGGAAAACTTCCTAATACATTTTATGAAGCAAGCATAACCCTTATAACCAAAACCAGGGAAAGACATCACTAAGAAAGAAAATTATAGATCAATATCCCTCATGAACATAGACACAAAAATTCTCAACAAAATCATAGCCAACAGAATCCAACAGCACATCAAAAAAAAAAAAAAATACATAAAGATCAAGTGTGATTCATTTCAGGGATCCAAGGATGGTTCAACATTAGGGGAAAAAAATCAATGTACTCCACCAGATAAATTTTTAAAAAAGGGAAAGAACCACATGATCATATCGATTGATACAGAAAGGGCATTTGACAAAATCCAACATCCATTCCTGATAAAAACACTCAATAAAGTAGGAATTGAAGGGAAATTCCTCGACATAGTTAGGAGCATATATACAAAACCAACAGCCAATGCCACTCTCAATGATGAGAAACTGAAAGCCTTCACTTTGCCAAAAGGATGCCCTTTATCACAATTCCTATTCAATATTGTGTTGGGAGTCTTAGCCAGAGCTATAAGGCAAAACAGGTAAATTAAAGGCATCCAAATTGGCAAAGAGGAAGTAAAACTGTCTATATTTGCAGATGATATGAGAATATACAAAGAAAATCCCAAAGACTCAGCAAAAAATCCAAGCAAAACAAAAAACTACTAGAACTCATGGAAAGATTCAGCAAAGTGGCAGGGTACAAGATCAACATACAAAAACCAGCCAGATTCCTCTATACTAACAATGACAGCACTGAAAAGGAAATTAGGAAAGTCATACCGTTTACAATAGCTGCCCAAAGAATGAAATATTTAGGATTAAATCTAACCAGAGAAACAAAACACTACTACAAAAAATAAAAGAGACTTACAAAAATGGAAGAATATACAATGTTTCTGGATAGGAAGACTTAACATTGTGAAAATGCTAACACTACCCAAAGCAATATACAGATATAATGCAATCCCAATCCTGATTCCAATTATATTCTTTAAAGAGATGGAAACAATGATTACAAACTTTATATGGAAAGGAAAGAGTGCCCCGAAAAGCAAAGCACTGCTTAAGAAAAATAACAACGTTGGAGGCTTCTCACTCCCTGATTTCAAATTTTATTACAGGCTTCAGTGGTCAAAACAGCCTGGTACTGGTATAATGAAAGATACATAGATCAGTGGAACAGAATTGAGAATCCAGAAATTAATCCATCCACATACAGCCAACTGATCTTTGAAAAAGGACCAAAGTACATGGAATGGGAAGGAGATAGTCTTTTCAACAGATGGTACTGTGGAAAATCAGTATGCAAAAGTGGAAATCAATATGCAAAAGATTGAAGCAAGACCTTTATCTCACAACATATAAAAAAGCCAACTCAACATGGATTAAAGACCTAAATGTAAATCCCAGAATTATAAAGGTCATCAATGAAAAAATATGAACAAATTTAAGGGCTCTAGTGGGTCGGAACCGACTCGATGGCATTTAACAGCCACAACAAGACACACATGGGGTGCACATATGTTATCAAACATTGCAAGAAATGCACAAACAAAAGACAAAATAGATTATTGGGACATATTAAAATTAAGTATTTCACTAAAAGTAAAAAGAAAACCCACAGAATATGAAAAAATCTTTGCAATGACATATCAGACAAGGGACTAAATCTCTAAAATCTATAGGAAACTACACCTCTACAAGAAAAAGACCAATAACCCAATGAAAAACTAGGCACAGGACATGTATAGACACTTCACCAAGGAAGACATTTGGGCAGCCAACAAACAT